TCATGTTTGCTGTGAGACAGAATAAGATGCTGTTAGAACAGATCAGCAAGTGTTTACATAGCTGGCTCTTTGCTATCATACCTTCCCATAGAATAATTGCAAAAAACCTCAAAACTATCCTCCCCAGACAGCTGTCATGTCCAATAAACGGAGGCCCAATTCAGAACTTGATGTTTGAATAGGTCACAGAAGTTGCTACATGTTACTACTATATGAGAGAAGGCATCTTTCAGTTTTTGTCACAGCAATATATGGTGATGAATCGGACAATAAGATCTGTTCTACCTTGAAGACAAATAATTTTAAAGTTCTTATTCACACGGTAAGGACAATGAAGACAACAAAGAGGTAAGAGAACAAAAGCAAGAAAAACATCTGCAGGTGCAGTTACCAAATGCGGAGTCAGAGGCCTGCCCTTGCAGGAGTATGATCACACACATACATCGCTTGAACAGACACTGGTGCTTGAAAAGCCCACAAAGCTGTTCGTATCAACCTCAATGGCTATATAGGCTCTACAGAATATTTCTGATCTTACAAGAACCACATTTCAGGCTTCTGAAACAACAGATATGGCTTAAACAGAGTTGAAAAACTTGGGTAAGTTATTACAGGAATGACTACGCATTCTTTATCCAATACATGACCACCTATAATGGAAAAGGCTGCCCAACTTAACTTGTTTCCAGTTTAATTAAATTGCAATTCAAGTCACACACAAGGGGAAAAAAATAACATCTAAAGACTAATCTAAAAAAATTAGTCTTCAGTGTCCTTACATAGTACATCCTGAAAGTTGACTGAAATATGTTAAGACAAAGCAAAAAGCACAATGAGATAGTAAGCAAAAAATGTCAAGATCATAGGCCAGCAACTCTGAACTCTCGAGGACTTCACATGCAGTCACTGCAGGAAAACGTTTAGGTAAAATAAAGTAAGACAAAAGTGCAACCACCTTTTATGTTACTTAAGAAGATGATCTTTCCCGAGTTCAAAAGCTACTGTTTCATGTATAACTTACATAGCAGCAATCCATTAGCACAGGGAATTAGGATAAATAATTAAAACAAAATGAGAACATGATCAAATAAGATACAACCAAACAAATGGCATTACAATGAAACTGCGGATTGTTGCATATCACCATGATCTTTAAAGCATCACAAGCACCTAGCTAAGGATAACATTAGGCCTTTCAAATGTTTTTGTTTAGTGTAAAAGGATCATTCATTTCTGAGTACAAGGATCTAAACTCTGGTTTCTGATCAGTTTGTTAAGTTTTAGGCATGTAAACTGAAGCCTAAGATCTCCAAAGTTTGCAGGATCATGAGGTGGGGGGGCACTGGAAAATTCTCAGTGCTACACAACTTGAAAGGAAAAGATGAGAATGAAGCTGTCACATGAAGGAGGCAATGCAGAAGGAACAGATAATGCTTCATTTTGAACTAACAAGAAGTACCTTGAAAACCATCTCATATAATGCAAACAGAAAATGCTTCTGGAGGAAAGGGAGGTGTTCGATACCTTCAATTACAGCACAATTCTCTGGATGAAGCTCTTCCCCCTCCCCACTTCCCTACTTCACCCCCTGAAAAGGTTCGTTGAATGCCAAAAGAGACATCTTTACTACTTCATTATTCACCATGTTATCATCTTTAACTTACAGTGACTGCAACACAAATAACTGAAGCAAATATTGTCAATATATAATAAGGTATATTTTGCAATGCATTATTCCTACTTTTATTTCTGCATTATTAAAAGCTAAAAGAAGTCAAGAGAAGCTCTGACAGAGAAACCCAGTTACATCAATAACCAAAGCAAGTGTTTACCTCATCATCTCTTTTCTGATGTGTTCACAATCCAAGAAGCAGAATTGCAAGTCCTTACCCAAGAAAGTAGGTTTTAGACTAAGTTTCTAATCATGAACCAATAAGATCAGTTGTAAAGTTTCATTTTAAATTTATTTCACTGGAAATTCCCCTGACAACTCTTCATTCACAAGTAGCAGTTGCAACATAGGGTCATAAATTAAACAATGAAAAAAGGAAGCTGAGCAACACATTTTAGACGGGAGTTCACACAGACCCTCTAGTAGCTTTGGTCCAGTTTTTAACTTCTAATTCCTAGTAAGTGCCACGTTGCAGTGCTTGAAAGCACAACCGCACACCGAAGAAAAGCTTTTCTGAAAAACTGCCCATCTGAGACAACACCAAAAGGTTTCCTAGTCTCTCCAAATAATATCTGAGGTATTTTTATTTATTGTTGGGGTTTTAATTTGTAACTTTATAGTCTTCAGAAATAGAAATGGGCTGCAGAGAAACCAGAGAAAAGACAGCAGATGTACTTCTAGGATACTACTCAGACCTGTTTTAAGAATAAATCAATAATACCCAAAAAAGCCCTTTGGTCTCCTTCCCTCTTCATAAATGAAGCTTTGAAGAAGAGTATTTCCATTATAGGCATCTATCTTTGGCATGAATTGTCTGCATTTCCCCATGGCATATCTTAGGATGGGCTATCAATTTCCAAACACATTTAGTGGGCAGAGGTCTGGAGAGATGCGACTCCTCCCAGCTCAGACAGCTGGTGAAGGGGACTGGCTTTGCACCCCTGCAGTCAGAAAGCTGAGAAGATACAACCACAAACTGAACTGGGGGAGCTTCATGAGAGTCATCACAGAGCAAAGTAATAGAGCGAGAGTGAGAGAGATGCAACCAATTAGGAAACCAAGCCTCATTATGTCCCATGTAATATTTTCTTCCTTCTCTCCAATCTCTGCCCATAAACGCTCTAAACATACGTGGAGAAAGATTACAAGAAAGGCAGCTTCTGTCAACGGTACTTAATGTAGTAAAAAAACCTGCTGCTAGAATACACAACCATGGGCTTTAACTTACAGGATAGGCTGTTAGCACTGTATTAAAACAGCTTTAATGTAGGTGTCTACCTGAAAGAAAACTCCTATTAGAGGATGCAAAGATGCAGGTGACAGTAGATGAACTGAGTAGTGAATAAACATGGGACAGCCACTGGGTTTCTACCTCAGCATGAGACAAATCATCCTCTGGTAGCAAGGCCTATGAGAACTCAGACATACACTTGCACTTACAAACCAACATGTATATTTAGATGCCTTACATTGATCTACTCCAACCACTGTCACTGTTTCAGATAAGAGTATTTGGAAACAGAGTTATCCACAAGGAGCAGATTACGTCTGCCATATGACTAAGTCTCTTCATATTCATCTTTGGGTCAACTGACTTCAAAGTAAAATGCTGATAGTACAACTAAGTTGCCTTTGCACACACTGTGCTTTATTTATGCAGCAATCCTGACAGCATATTAATTGCTCCATCCTACACTATCAGTCGGACTTGACATTTTATTTGAAAGATAAATTGGGAAAAAAAAATTGTGATCTGCATCCAGAATAGAGTCTAATGAAAGAACTGTCACAAACAGTCTAGCACCGCATAATGTAACCAGAATAAGTCAACTGAGATTTGGCCTACAAACGATCCAATCACACAGCAGGACAAACAGGTTGGTGTACCTGATCTGGACAACTATGCTGAAGCAAGAAATGCAATGGTAAGCACAAGGGCAAAGATAAATTGCATAAAACAGTGGCAGAAATAAAATAAAGGAGAAAGAGCCACTGAAGCAGATTTGACACATGAGATTCCACAAAGCCATAAGGAATACATCCCAGGGTGCCAGTGGCCAGGGTTACCGTGAGGCCACGCTCCATCCTTTTTAATATGTCACGAGGACTGGGGGAAGTACCTGAAGTACACCTATAATGTGCTCTTGGGGAAAAAAGAAGAAAAAAATCCACAATCAAAAAAACCCAATCCACAACATTAAAAAACCCAAACATTAACTTACCAGCAATGTCCTTCAAGGATCAATATTGGGCCAATACTGTTCAGTATGGGACAGGATGCGCTCTCAGTGGTTTGTGGATAGTACCAGATTAAGAGAGGGGAAGACACACCAGCTTAAACACTGGAGAGTAGGGCTGCTACCCAAATAGTCCTTGAGAGGCTGGAAAAATGAAATCCAAGGGTAAATGGAAGCTCCTGCACCTACAGTTCAGTAACCCAGTCCTTTTTGAGAAAGGGGCTGGACTACAGCTTAGAAGTTGGATGTATGCAAATTCATGAGACTGAACTAGATATACTTGAAAGTGCAGAAAGAACTGGTTGATGCAATTGCAAGGCTGCTGCTTATCAAAGAATCTGTAAATCAGGAGAGTTCTTGATGGCTAGGGGAAAAAAAAAAATCCCAGGAAAAGAAAATCTAAAATCATGGCCACTTTCAGTCAAGAAAGGTAAGGAGCAGCACCCAGGGAACTATAGGCTGATGTGGCTTAGTCCTTAGAAAAATCACAGAAGCATGTACTCTTCTAATCACAAAGGAAAAGACATTAATCCAGAATAGGAAACTAATTTCCCAATGGCAAATCATGCTTAAGCCATGCAATTGCCTTCAATGATAAAATACCTGGCTACAAGTAAGCTAATCTTTCCTTCCATACAACAGCAGTAAGATCATGCCTGCAATACTGAGCCCACATTTGTTCACCCCACTAGGTCAAGAAAGACATGGGGAAACATGGGATTGTCAAGCAGATGACGACCCAGAGGGTGAGCAGCCCAGAGCACACGATCTCTAAGGAAAAGCATCGGAAACTGTGCTTTTTAGTTTGCCAAGAGCTGTAACCAAATAGCAACCTTGAGCTATTTGAAAGAGACCTGCAAAGATAGCACAGCCAAACTTTTCTGTGCAATGGCAGATGGTAAAACAAGAGGCGACAGCCACAACTTCTGTCTTGACAGTTTTGGTTTTTTTTAATTATTTGCTAGGAAGGCAAGAGAAGATTGCTAGGAAGGCAGTGGAACCTCTTTTGTTGGAGGTTTTCAAGACTCAGCTGGACAAAACAGTAATTTTGGTCTGAACAGAAGGATGGACTACATTTTCTCCAGAGTATTCTATAAATCAACTGTTTATAATTCTTATGTTCCTAAAATACCCCAAAAAAGATAAAGGGTGAGGTGCAACAAGGGGCTCAGCCAATTTTTCTAGTACCTTAGCAAATGCAGAGGGCTTCATGAATATAGCAGATGACAATAAGTACACAGGTCAGAGAAAAGGAATCTAAACTAGATCAGCCCTGCAAAAACCACAGAAAACTGAAATGGATAAATTTAAAGGATTAGCTATACCAGCTTAAATAAAAAAGAAATGCTGCCCTAATAGGTGAGCTTAAGCGACTGAATTCGGTATCACAATGCAAAAGAATAACTGGAAAAATAGAAAGCAAGATTTCTTCAGCTGCCTCCTGTGCTAAGGCTGGAACAATTTTTGCAGCATTATCCCCAGAAGAGAATCATCGCACCCTGACGCAAGCTCCTTGACTTGCAGACTGGAACTAACACGCTCACAGCTCAGAGCCAGAAGGGACAGACCTGGTAGAAACCCTGCAAAGATGAACACGATGAACACAGGATGCCTACATCTCATCAAGGATTTCTTTGGACAAACTACAAACAGTGGATGGCAGATTTTCTACAGAAGAACAGCAGACGTAGGCCAAAGACTGCAAGCTGTTGTGACAAGTCACAAATCTTGACCAACTGTGTAAAAGAAAAGCAGCAGCAGCAGCCAATAGCACATAAAATGGAAACGTTTCTTCATTGTACTTTACAGTACAGTTCTCGGTCAAAGGCACATAATGGCAAGGACCTGTTAGTCCCTTTTGCACTAATTCTGAATTAGTAAATTAAAACTCTTAGGTGTTATTTGTAAAAATGATCAAAGCTAAAAAGTTAAGACTATAGGCACATCAAACAAAGTGATGTAGTTATATTAAATAGCCCAATAAAACCCAAACATCTCTACCTAAGGTGGCCTTACTTTCAAGGATCACTCAATGACCGAGCAATCTGATGCCTTCAATTTTTGTTCCCATGTCATTTCCCCATGCCCCTTCCTCAAGCAGTACAAAATCTAGCAGAGTTTCACTGATGACTGTGCAAAAATACCTGTGAAACACATGGAAATTGGGCACAGCTTACTCATGCCTAGAGTGCAGAATAAAAACTGAATCAGTTTTCAGTTCAGAACCTTGTACAGAGACACCATACAGGGGACTGTGCATAGACCTAAGTAGGAAGAAACCTATTTTTAAGAACAGGACCCACAGTATCATCAAAAAATGTGGATTTAATTACCTTGCAGCAATCACCAAGAAAGTGCGTACTGTCCTGTTGAAAGAGACGCAGAGAAAAGAACTTCTAGGTATCAATTTTGTACTGGACAAATCCTTTTGTCGGTGTCAAACATTATAAAACCAGCTACTGAGACAGCCTTTCAGCAAAGCACCGTAGGACTTGCAAACTGAAGAAGTGTTAGCTTGGAAAGGTCCGGATTTTGTGGATTCAAATGAGGAACAGGTGGATGCCCCATCAACCTTGTTCTAACAAGGTGCTTTGCTCTGGTATGAACAATCTGGAAGCGTTTCAGGGGTAAGCAATGAAGAAATCAGAAAACATTTTCAGATCCCACAAACGTCTGTATTGGTCTTGTACAAAATTATTCAACAGAAAGGGCGGTCAAAACCTGGTAGAAAAGGATTAGGAAGGCCCATGACAACTTTTAACCAATCTTTACATCTCACCAGGAGTTTTGACTTTACAAAGTTCAGCATGAACTAATAACTACAGAAAAATACGTTAATTATCATAATAGAACTACTACAGCACTCTTGGTCTGGATTTCCACACTACTCTCAAGAGCACAAACCAGCAGATGAAGGACTTCCAGGGAATGAGGCACCCTGGCAACTTCTATGAAAGCAGTAACAAGCTTGAAAGTATCGACTGTTGGTCTACAGTACTCAATATATTCAACAAGGGGGTGTGATGTCTCATTGCAACTCTGGCAACAAGACACTAAGTTTTATGTCTGGTCTCTTTTCTCACTTGGCAATCACAGACCTCAGGCTTTGTGCTGCGGCTCCTTTGTGAGGTCTAAAAAGTCCAGTACTGCCTGCCTGGTGCTCAAACAGCAAAGCCCATGTCCCTTGTTACTAGGCAGATCAAATGGTCCTCCATCTGCCACTGCAACTTTAAACACTCGGTCAGACTCTGAGGGTCCCCTGAGGCTTCATACAATACCAGCAGCTATAAATGCATCCAAAAGAAAAAAGACATAACATTCTAAAAGTGGAGTATGTTTTATCGAACACATTTCAGCATACAGTGGAAGAGGTCCTACAGATCGTGTCCTGTCACTCAATTTAATCATCCCCAGATGGTAACTTTCAGGTTTTCAAAAGAGCCAAAATACCACAACCAGTTTGTGAACTGTTCAGAGCTACCAACGTGAAAACGACACCAAAAAAGTGAGCGTTTGTTTTGCTTTTTTCTTAAAGTAACTTCACAAACATAATTAAGGTGGGGAATTTCACAGATTACAAAAAAGTGGTAGCTGTACTCCTAGAAACTCCCCCACTTCCCAGTTAATATGCAAGCCTAATGAAAAAGCTAATGACCTAAAAAGAAATGAGCAAGAAGAAATGAGCAAGAAGTATGTTGCTTAAAGAAACAAGCACACTAAAGGAAGCAATGATAGTTTTAACTTGTATGAAAACAAGCAGGATGGCTTAATTTGGTGTAATATGGGGTATTTCCCAGAACAGAAAATGGGATTTTGAGAAACTTTTTAGTCTCAAAGGAAGAAAAAGTTGTTCGTTTGCACATAATATTGAGATCTACTGGATAAATGAAGTAACTTTTAAAGACAGCTTTCCCTCCAAACACTGCTTTAAAGCATTGGACCCAGAGAAAAATCTTGGGAGTTTAAAACTGAAATCTCACAGAGGAATAGACAGAAGGCAGTAGGCATGAATAACAGGTGGGCATAACAAATATACTTTAAATATGTGTTCTGAGATTAGACTGCAATGTTAGCGAAGGCTCAGTCAAGATTGAATTTCTACATGAGAGAATATAAAGAGATGCTGCTGAAGTACAGTGTATCAATGATAAAGATTTCCAGGAAGAAAGTATGACAGGTCTCTTCTGACCAGCAATTTTCACAGAAACAGCAGACTCATGTCAAGAGAATCTTGTAAATGAGCTTTCCCAGTGGCCTGCAGGAAAACCAAGCAAAATTCTACATTAGAAAATCAAAGGGAAATAAATCACAGTTTGGAATGGATAGCGTGAGAAAATTGTCACAAATACAAAAGTCTGCAAAGCACGGAATCTGTTTAATTGTTTATTGAAATTGTTTCTTTCAGTGTGTTGAATATTTCAAAATATTTCAAAAAACAGTACTGAAATACTGTTGAACATCAGTATTTTGGGAGTCACTGGGTAAAATTGCAGTGTAACAGCACAATTACAGACAGGGTAAAATCTTGCCGAAGTTAGAGACGGGAATGTCATACTTCATGAACAAGAATCCACCATGCTTATGTTTGGATACAGAGAAAAGAAACATTAGCGGCCTTCAAACTTCAGCACGTATCAGCACCCAAAAGAGTGCACATTCAGAATTGAAAAGTTGTATGAATTATGTGGGAGAAGAGCTGACATGGCCTTTCACAGGGTACTGCTTCAACAGGAGAGGGAGAGTGCAGAATATAATGTAAAAAATTGAAAGAACAGATAATAAAGGACACATGCACAAGAAGAACTGAAAGCAGTATTGAGAGAGAGAAAGCATGCACATGCAAATAAGTTTGCCTGTGGTCTAAGGGTTTGCATAAAATGCTTGCTCATTAAACAGAGATGATGCTTATTTGCCATTTTATTCCTACTATCCCTAGGGAGAACGAGAACTTTGCACCTTTTCAAAAAAAAAGTCAAAGCATTATTTGGCTCTGCAACCATATGTTCTAGACTCTTTATTTTCTCTCCTACATCAAAAAAACTTCTGTTGGGCAGCCGTTTAAGTCATACAGGTAATTCGGACAACATTCAAAGCAAAAATGCCAAAATTTAAAGTAACGGTAACCTACATGTGCATTTAAACCACAGCACCCAAAAGTTGAGCATTTGAAGAAACTTCCATCTTTCAGCAGCAGTCATGACAGGCAAAACCAGTAAAAAGCAATTGCTATTCCATCTTATGTTAAATAACTCCTTTTCCACCACATATCAGAATAAAGTTCACTACTCAACGGAGAACATTATTCCTTCTTTGTTCTTCTAAGTAAGGCAAAGCTCAAAGAGCATAACGAATACTAGCAAGAAGCAGATATCAAAGCAAAAAAAAAAAGTACCTCAATCCAATTAGCATCAGGCTGCCCTTGATTTGGCTTCCCCCATCCTTTGCTGTGCTGTTCAGCATGAATCTCCCTCTGGAATTATCCCTTATTTCTGTATGTTTCTTCCCTATTTCCATGTTACTTGTTCTCCCTTAGCCTTACACATGCTCTGAATTCAGAACACTTTCATTCCTTTCTTCCTGTTTTATTTTTTCTACTTGCATGTGTTCTTACATCAACCATTTATCTCACCTTCAACTTAGCTCTCAGGCTACCAATGGTTTCCTTGCTCTCTAACAAGGATATGAGAGAATTAGTCAAAATACTGTCTACTTACAGCAGACCAACTTACTAATAAAAACAGCATTTGTCAGTAATCTCTCAACCTGTGTTTGCTGCTTACCATCTCCTTCTTATGTTTACTGCAGCAGCTGTACATTCTGATACTCATTTAGTAAACTAAACAGGCTAGGAAGGCACCAAGTAGACACACAAAAATAAACAAGAGTGTATGGCACTCTGTGCAAAGGACAAGGGAAATCAAAACAGGAGAATCAATGAACGAGAGACATAAGACTACAAAGAACAGCAGATAGTATCAGATCCCTTTCTGAGTCACTACAGTAACTTAACTGTCTATACTATTAATATGAGGCCTGGAGTTCAAGGCCTTCCCAGTAAGAAGCAGCAGTGATGTTCATCATTCTGCAGATCAGGTGGACAGGGAGTCAGGCTGGAGAAAGTGGTACAACAGCCAAAAAGTTTCTCCCCAGACCAGTGCTGCAGGAAGGCCTGCACACGCTGGTACTCTGACACACAGACCTGCGGTTCTGGTAACAGGAGGATGTAAGCCAGTTCACCATGCTGGAAACACTGCTAGCTTGTTCCTCGAAACAAGAGCAGCCCTTGAAGTAGCACTATTTTGCACAGGGACCCAGCTCCTAGCATTAAAATAATCCTGCCAAACCCTGACAACACATGACTAAGTACAAATACATAAACAAAGCCTGTGTTCATGACAGATGCAAATAATAATCCAGTTCTAATGTGATATTATTTCAAATTAGTGCTACAATTTCTTTTCAGAGGTGAAATTTGAGGGGTCAGATTTCCACAAAAAGTTTGTATCAGCAGAGAAATTTGAGAGAAGAATCTGTCTGAACAAAGGACAACGGGAACAGGATCTAAACAGAAGGAGGAGATGAGATGGCACAAAAGCAGCAGGAGGAAGCAAGGATACAGAGGAAAGAAATGAGGACACGGACAAAAGAAACCCTGCCATACCTGGAGTAGTAGCATCTCTGGTTAGATACTGTTCTGGCACATCAGGATTACCCAACATACAATAATAAGGCACTTGCCACGCAATGCACAGTTGCATTAGATGGTTGTGCAATCCTAGGTAGGTAAATAAACAGTTCTTGTACTCATTTCCTTAGTCAACTATGTGCTCAGGCTAGTATTTCAGTGTGAAAACCTTGAATTTTTTTCAAGCTTTAGACTGTTAAGTTCAGACCTTTCATATTACACATGAGTACTCTTTTTATCAGAATGAATTTCTTCCCTCAGTGTAACCTGTTTACAAACCTTACTGGACATCTAAATGTTATCAAAGTGTAAACTGGAATCAATTTTTTCAAACATTGCACTGAAAATTCACAGTATTACACAGTGGAGCAGAAGAAACATAGTTATACTGCTATTAAGAGCACGCCCAGTTCAAATAAGGAAAAATTACCAGTCCTTCATATCCTGCATGCGTCTACACAAACACATGCACACCACCACTAAAGCTTAAACCTTGAAATTCTGTTCCTAAAAGGTGGTAAATATAACCTAGCCATCAACCAAAACAGGGACTATCCCTTTTTCCAGACAAGGTGCCCTCACAACAATGCAGAAAATCTAATTTAAAAGAAATCAAGGCTATCAATAATAAAATAGGAAAAAAAAACAGTAAGAACAGCACTATTAGGAAGCTTTAGAGCAAATCTTGTCAAATTTACTGGTAAGTTCTTTGGCTTGGCAGTCATATTGGAAATGCTATTTCACCATTACCAATACACAATTTATTATAATTGCCTTTGCAAATCATTAAAACAGATAAATAGGTAATAACCTATCAGCGTCTCTTCTAATTTAAAAAGTAGGAAATACCAAACAGAAGTGGCAGAAAGCGTGTTCAAAACCAATGGAGGCGCCTCCTGAGTCAGTGGGTATTTGACCCACAGATCTACTTGAGGCTGGAAGTTGCAAACACTAGAGCTCTACATGGGTTCAAGGCAAGGATGAGTTGATGGATAAAAAAATCCACTGTGGAACTTGAAGTCTTCAGTACATCTGCTCCAGAACATTCCTGGGCTGCGCTGTGCTGCAGGCTGAGCGGATACTTGAAGAGTGGGTCTAGGTAAAGAAGAATCATGTATGCTTGTTTCTTTCACAAGCATCTGCCTAAGGTGCTGTCAAAGATTCTTGAAAGATGACTGACTTCAACCACTTTTATACAATCCCTGTAGTAATACCATGACGTAAAATATCAGATGTCAGCGCTGTCACTCACCCAGTGCTGTAAAGGTGTGACCACTTCCCTCATTGACACCATAAGCAAGCACCACATGAAAATACGGAACAGCAATAATCTTAATTAATAGCTGAAGGCTCCTCGTCTTCAAGACATGCAAAATACAAATTGATATCCAAATTCGGCAACAGGTCCATGGAGATACACTCTCAGACCTTACTTGGATATCAAAGTCCCAGAGGTCAAGGAGCATAGTGCACATTAAAAAATACGGGTCTGCATCATTCAAGCTGTTCAAGTCTTCTGATGATAAGGCTTTAATATTAAGTCGCAAGAAAAGAAGCTGCACCATCATTTGTACAAACACAACAAAAATGTTTCCAGTAGGAAAGCCTTAGACAACTGTCATGCCTCAACAGTACTTGATCATCATTGTAATTTCTTTCACCATATTGCTGTCCACACTGCTTCCTGAGCCTGCGGCTCACCTGTCTGGCACAGGCATTTCTTGTCTTTTGTAGCAGCTACCTTCAAGCCTGTATTTACTAACAACGATAATGCTCTAAGACTAGTACTAAGAACAAACCTGCGAGACAGAGGGCTCCTGAAGGAGGGTGTGTATGCCTGCTAGACTGCTTTTCCAAACCAGTTTGCACCTCTGTGCCACTTAAAAATCTCATCTTCCTTTAACTTCTAAGCATTCACAATCTTATTTTCCTCATTTATAGGCCCTTCAGGACTTTTTTCTTCCTATGTGTTTTATAACTTGCTGCTTAGATAACAAGCATCAGCCAGCTCCAAGAAATGTTTCACAGGAACAAGTAGCGACATACACAAAAAATACTACACAAGTAGCATCACTACAGTTATGGTCTGGAAAAGGAGACACTGCTTCGGACTTGTTTCTTGAATTCTCCTCCCAGTCCAATGAAAAACAAGTCAAGGGAGCACATACAATGCACTGCTCACTGCATGGGATGTGTTACCCCACCCCTAACCTGATGCCTGGGGAGCACCAGTGTTACTGGAACTCGGTTCTACAGACCTGACTCCGGCATGGCCGTTACATAAGGCTTAGGGGAGACTTCACGGCTCAGCGAGGCACGGGGCCAGCCTCGCCACCAGGCAACGGCCGCCGCAGCACACGGCAGCGCTCCGTGTTTGATCACCGGCTCAGCGAGGCCCCAGGGGCACGACCGCTCCCTTCACGACACCGGGACCCGACACCGCCCGCCGGGCAGGGGAAGG